ATATTAATCTACCTGGATGAAGCACTTTCTATCATCAAAAGAGCCATTCGCAGCATCATAGACAAGACACCAGCTCACCTGCTGAAAGAAATCATACTTGTGGATGATTGCAGCAGTAATGGTAGGTCCAAGGTAGTGGAGGTATTTGGATGTTTAAAGTTTCAGTTCACCCAAATTACTCAAGATATTATCTCTCCTACCCCAAGCTGTATGTAACGATGGATAAAAGCAATCATCATCAAGCTCTCACATCTTCAACAATGTATCTTTGCAAAAATACTTAAAAAATGCATGTAGTATGTTGTAAAAAGTCATAGCATGTCATGTCAAAAACAAGTCTTACTGTACTATGTCGAAAATATGCAAGTAACGACATAGTATAGTATGTCTAATATAAAATAAAATAAACGACAAAGTATAGTATGTTGAATATTCACAAAAAACAACATAGTAAAGTAAGTCGAAAATATGACTGGTGAGCCGCCCCCCCCCCGGCTTTGCGACCTGCTACTGTTGGTGGACTCGGTGAAGAGTCAAACCGACCCTTCTTTAAACAGAGTTTCATCTACCATGCTTATTTGGGGTTGTTTTATGCTGCGTTATGCTCATTCATAAAAAAACATGTGCATTTATGATCAATTTGTTCACAAGAACACAAGATTGTTGAAAAAAGTAACTTGCAGAACAGGTGAAGCTTGTGTCCATCGTAAAGGGCGTATTATTTTTGTACACATAAAACTACTGGAAGTTTACTTCTTTCAACGGCTTCTATGTTGTGTGACCCTTTGACTGCACATCAATGCAGGATTGTAACATTTGATTGGACAAGTGATTAGGGATTTGATGGATGATTGTTTGATTGATATGGCGCGTTAGACTGAATCTACCTCTCAGATTCCTCTCTTTTACATTTGCAGAAGATTTAATGGAGAAACTGGATGAATACATAAACTCTATCCACGAGGAGCGTCCAGCCCTGGTGAAGAGAGTCCGTCACTCCGAGCGGCTCGGCCTCACTCAGGCCAGACTCTCTGGGTGGAAGGTTGCTGTGGGGGAAGTGGTGGCCATCTTGGATGCTCACATAGAAGTCCATGTTGAATGGTTAGTCTAAGCCATAGGATTTGTCACACCTCAGTTTTCATCTCTCTGCATAACACTTTGTGTTTCTGAATACTGTGTCTAGGGCAGAGCCAATGTTGGCTCGGATCAAAGAGGACCGCACCGTGATACTGACACCAGTGTTTGACAAAGTAAATTACGACGACCTGAAACTTATCCCCTACGTACCAGCTGCGGATGCCTTTGACTGGGCTCTGTGGTGCATGTACGAGTCCTTCAGACCCGAGTGGTATGCTTTAAATGACGACTCAATGCCTGGAAAGTAAGTTCAGGAGCAGCTGGCAGGGAAATCACACACACAAAAACATTCTTCCACACTTAAAGGTCACCTATTATGCTTTCATACATACATATCTGTCCCCTCTGCATTAAGAGATTTGGAAAGTTTCAGGTAAAAAGATTCTCTCTCTTTTTGTCCTGATCAATCTATATAAAAACCTGTCTGAAAATGAGCTGATCAGATTTTGGCCACTGTTTTTTTGGCTTGTGTAACCATTAGCCAATAATCAACCAAGGTAACACCCGCCCACCTTATCACCTGAATCTCCTACTAGAGAACCATTGTTCCTTATCAAACCAAACACTTTAAAGAGGGGCAGTTCATTTTCATTTAAACATACAGACAGAGAATCAGCACTTTTAGAACAGGGCTGAAACAGAGGGGATTATGGGATGCAACAATGCATGCCATAAACATGTTTTGTATATATCTGAGACTTGTAATATATTGTTGAAAAAGAGTATAATATGTGACCTTTTTAAGTAAAGTCTGACAATTTGGGGAAATGTATTTGTTAAGTAGAGCTTGCTCTAGACAAGGTTTTTATGGCACATAACCCCAGAACAACTTTTTTACCCTTTTTTACTTGTATCAAAATGTACTAAGAAAACAGCCAAAATACAACATGAGTGAGTTTTAGAGGTGAACATTTATACGTAAGGCTTTATTGGACTATAAGAATTAAAAGGTTAATTTGTTATCATTGAGAGTCACAGGTTGTCATAGGAAGATTAAGTGCAGTCTTACTACTACAACGCCAGGTCTATGTGTGCACTGTCAACAGACTGTAACACGCCCTGCAGATTTGTTTTTGTTCCAGCTGGTTGTTTTTCCATTCAGTAGAACGTTGAAATGGGAGAACCATTATAACAGCATACAAATCTTTATCTGTATGCTAACGATGTTCACAATGTCAATATTTCCTGTACCAGTGTCAATGTTGTAAGTGTCACTTCAAAAATATTGGCCTTGGCTGCAGAGGATATAATAATTCTCAAAATCTCAGTCAAGGAAAAGAAAACTGTACGTGGCTTAAAATAAATATCATATCATTTGTTTGAAGGAAGTGACTCATGAACCACTTTACTTACTCTGATATCTGAAATGCATTGACCACGGATGAAGTATAGCTGATGTTTAATTTCAAAATCTTAACGAGTCAAATTGTGACGTGTAGGAGCCCGGCCATCATGGGGATTCTTGTAGCTGATAGCAAGTTCTTTGGAGAGATCGGAAGCCTTGATGGTGGAATGAAAATATACGGCGGTGAAAATGTGGAACTCGGCATCCGGGTGAGATTTTCAGGGAAATTTAAATTGACACCATTTTTAAGATGTTACTCCATTGCAATGTTAATATCGGCAAGGAATCAGCTAATATAATACAGTACATGTGTTTAATGTGTCTAGAATGACCCATTAATGCACTTTTTAAATATTTGACCTTTCGTGTCTTGGCAGGTGTGGCTGTGTGGAGGAAGCATAGAGGTTATTCCTTGCTCTAAAATTGCCCACATTGAACGAGCCAGCAAGCCTTACCTCCCAGATTTGAGTGGAATGATGAGGCGTAATGCTCTGAGGGTGGCCGAGGTGTGGATGGATGACTATAAGAACAATGTCAACATTGCCTGGAACCTTCCCTTCGAAGTAAGGGGATGACACCTGAATAAAAACTACATCTTATATCCTTAAACTGTAGTTCCTATATTTTTTTTGTGACCTTTTGTTTCCTCACAGAATCATGGGATAGACATTGGGGATGTGTCGGAGAGGAAAAAGCTGAGAGAGAGGCTGAACTGCAAGCCCTTCCAGTGGTATCTGGATAATGTTTACCCCATGCTCGACCCTTTGAAGGACCTGCTAGCTTATGGAGCGGTGAGTAGGAAACGATATCAGATGGCATGCTTTAGAAGGCCAGCGGTGGCACTCTCACCGCTGTTCTCATCTACGACGACCACCATGTGTGTCAGAGAGTTGACCTTCACCTGCTCCGCCTCCAGGTCATTCTGAAGCTCCTGAACAGAAACGCAAACAGTGAACTCAGCACGGTCACATATTACCCATTAACAGAGCTGGCAGAGAAGCTACTTGGCTTCATGGTGACACCAAGGACTAAATGAATATATTTGAGACATTTTTTCACAACTAAATTGTCTCCACGTCTATCAGAAAGTAGCAAGTCTGTATTTGATTTAACATTGTCATGTTAAGTGGTGGTTTCAAACCTGTGTAGTTTTTACCCAATGTCAGCAGGGGCAAACATCTACATGTATGGGTTGAGACTAAGATTGATTTAGATTATTTATTTTTTTACAATTTGGAATACATTTTAGAGGCCTAAAGAGGAAAACTATTCAATACCTCACAAAAAAACTGATTAGAGAAACCAATATAATTGTTTATGTGTTGTGTTTGTGTGTTTTTTAAATTCCGCGAACCATCTTTGTAATCCACCTATTTAAATGTTAGAACTGTGCTAGACTCTGTCTGTATCTACAGATTTACTCTCTGGAAGATTGTTATTTTTCTTGTAGGAATCATAGTAAAACAACCTGAAATTGTCTAAAATGAAAAGATAAGCCTGGTGGAATTCTATATTCTTCTTCAAATCCCATTAGAAAAAATAAAACCACATATCGGTACATACCCCTGCTTTGGTTTTTGGTATTTTAAAGGTATTCATAAAGAATAAAAAAAAAAAAATGAGGCTGGAGCCTGATTTTCTTTCTTTAACGTCATACTAATTATCTCTGCTTCTGGTTACAGCTGGTTAATGATCTGATGCCTACATTCTGCATTGACCAAGGCCCAATGCCTGGGAACACTCCCATTGTATATGGTTGTCACTACCAGTTCAGCCAGGTATGTTCAAAGATCCACTGTATGCACACAGACACTAATTCAGTTTTGGTTTTGGAATATAATGGCTTTTTGTTGTAGCACTGTTATTATCGCACCAATGGACAACTGTTCATCGGTGGAATAAAATCTCACAAGTACAACAGCAACCGCTGTCTGTCGGACCCCGGCTCCGGAGTCCATCCAGGATTGTATGAGTGCAAAATGGCCGAGCAGAAGAAATTCCACATACTGTGGGATTTTAAACAGGTACTTTTTAATACAATTTTAATATACATATGCACAAAAGAGGTCAGTCTTTTTGGAGGAAAAGAAACATGTTTTTTTTTCCAGGACGGAGCTATCCAGAACAGAGAAACAAAGAGGTGCCTGGAAATAATGATGGCTGGATACAGCAATAATCAACTGGTTATTCAGCAGTGCACCAGTCAGAGATGGAAAATACAATATCTCATCAAAGGCCAGCTTGGTGGGCAGGGTTCAGAAGACAGGATGATAAAGGAGCCATGATTCTATGTCAATCTGCAGCTCAGTGACACACATGTTTGCTTTTTGGACGACTTGGATCTACGAGAGGCAAACTCTGTGACAAAATGTATTTAAATGATTGTTTTGGAAAAATATAACATTGTGACAAAAAATGAACTACCATTGAATGGTCATTTATTTCATTCGTTTTGAAAAAAATGTTTTCGATGTGAACATTTGCTATTACCTTTTCTCTGTGCGGAAAACCCTATTTATGAGAGGAAAAGATTGGCAGTAAACAGCTTTTAATACTCCCCACAGTACGTCTGAATGGCTAGTTCACTCAAATTCCTTTGTTTAAAAAAAAATGCATACCTTAATACATCAGACAGGAACATCCTGAGGGTATGTTTTCAGACAATCAATAACACAAACAGTAGTTCCAATTGTTTGAATACAGGCCTAAAGATGTTTGCTATAGCTAATCGCTTTGACAACAATAATTCAAGTTGATCAGGATCCGTGTGTTTGTCATGTGTGTTTAAAGATGAAGGCGTCCCATTTGCTCTGCCACATGACGACACCTGTGTCCTTTAGATGGGCTGGCAGGGAGCTGTACCTGCAGGCAGAAGGCATTTCAACACTTTAACATCATTAGGTTGATTGTAGGCTAAAAATATCAATGTTTCTCAACCATAAAGTAGAAATCACGTCCTATAGCAGGGCTTTTTTCACCGAGGGCCACATACAGAACAACATAAGTGAGGTATATTGCCACATAAGTTATAAGATAGTAAAATCAATCAAATGTAGGTAAATTGTGCTTGATACTTGAATATGCTTTAGGCTACATCACAACTTTCCATCGGGTTTCATTTATTTTTTACAAAAAGTGTACAACAGAAGCCTCAGATTGCTTATAATAAGGGGAAATAGGAAGGCTATGTTTCACACTTATGTAAATAAGTTATTGGGCTTTTTTTTTTATCAATAAGATTTGAATTGACTGCATTTATTTGAAAATTGGGCTTATTAACACATGAATTACTACTGTGTAATATTTATATATATTTCAGAAGTACAATATAAGACTTTCATGTGTAGGCCAATTAAAAATGGATCATGGGTCGCAGTTGGCCCCCAGGCCGTAGTTTGGACCCCCCTGTCCTACAGCCTTTGTTTTTCCCACTGAAGGGATGCCATTTATGTAATACAGTAAAAATGGGGCCTGAGAGAGATCAAATCAACGGATTCTCACCTGATGGAGTTCAGAGCCAGCTCTTTCAGAGTACCCAAGTTTGCTTTTAACCCTCCGATGCCAACAAAGGCTTCATAGAAGTCGTAGGAGAGGCCCGTGGTGCCGAACAGAGACGGGTCATCCGAGCTGATCACCATCGGGTGGCCCTCCGACATCAGCACAGCGGCAGGGTGGTTCCTCAGGTCCGATACCAGTTTCAGCACCTCAAGGGCAGAACACATTCAGGTTAATAACATATGGAAACAGGTGCTGGTGACTTCACCACACGTGCACACTTATTGGTGCGTTCCAGAGAAGTCTGCAAGAGTCCAAACGTTTTGTGGACTTCCAGAGAGTTCGCTTGGATTGGAGCCCAAAAATGTACCCAGAATCCAAAATAGAAATGGTTGTAATCATAAGTATTACTGTAACTTCATTTTTTCCCCACGGTTTGAACTCACATCTAGCCTCTAATTTCCACTTCCTTAGAACAGACAACCTACAACCATTGGTTTGTAATTAACATGTATGCAAGTATATATGTATGTATATATATGCCATCTCTCCAAAAAACAGACTCAAATTCTTCTCCATGGTTTCTCCATCATGCCAATGAAATGGGTTACCATCTCACCTGGTTTGAGATGGGGCACAGCTCCACAGCTACGTTTCTTTTCCTAGAAAGCTCTTTGGCCAGAGGATGGTGTGCCAAAGCAAAGCCATGCCCGATGCGTGTGGTGTTGAACAGAAGGGCGTCCATTAGGTTTTGATCTACGTCAGTGCCTTCCTCATCTAAAAACAAACCAAATCATATTTCAACAGATTCATAAAGCTGGGAAATATTTCTGTTTTTGTTAATAAAAATGACGTATTTAGTGCTTTTGAATCTAACCACCTGTTTCGCCCGCGTGAAAGAAGTACGGCAGCGTGACACCCATCTCAGCTGGCAGAGAAAGAGCGTCCCTGAAGTACCACAGAGTCCTCCCACTGTCCTCCCTGCCAACCTGAACACATACTGGAAACTCAGGGAAAGGCTAATTATGTTACCACAACAAAAAGCGCCTAATGTTCAGTTAAATATGAGGTTTAATAAGACGGATCTCTTCTTACTGTACCATGTCAAATCCTGCAACAACATCTGGGAAGTCCTTCTGCAGCTGAATGGCTTCTTTCACAGCTGCTTTCACCTCAGATACACTCAGAGCCCTGGAGGAAGCAACAACGAAAATACACACAGAAATCATTCAGTATTCAACTCGCAAACAATAACCCTACTGTGCAATTTGACTTTAATATTATAAGAGACCCATCTCATTAATCTTCTGATGATTTTCTTTGTATCCAATGTTAGCTCTGGTGCTTCTTTTTGTATTTAGAGCCGTTTATGTACTGCACACAAGTATGGAGACAACATACTAACAGCTGGTGCATCAGCAATGTCGCCACTTGTGACAAAAATCCTTACAACATCCAGAAATACGGTACTGACAGAATAACACTTAATGAGAAACGTTATAAAACTGTTTTAGGATGATGAGTATTAAATTGGTGAAGTGACCTTTTAATAAAAGTAAATGTCTGTTTCCAGAGAACAGCAAATTCAATCAGAGAGATAATAAATGTAATAATAGCTAGAGAATGATTTGTCCAACATGGTTATAGTTAGCATATTTTTCCAGTTTGTTCATTGAAAAAGTAACCATCTTATTAACTACTTAAAATCTGTGTCTAACGTCAACATTCTTATTCTAATTTCTACATCAACTACACTACATTTAAAAGGAACATATTGTACTACAGTATACTATCATATAAAGTATTTTGGACATTGTTCTCATCTCTCAAATTAAGCAACTAAGGAGTAATTGTGCATTACAATTAAAAAGTTGATGAAGTATTTAGAGATGACTTAAATATCAGGACCTGTGCACAGAAATGATGATACGAGCCCCGAGAAAGTCCGGATGATCCTCTTGAAATGTCCTTGTAACCTCTTGAAATGTTTTCAGAGCCCACACCTTATCATGAATGCTTCCATCAAGCTCATACGTCTGAAACACACAAATGAAATGTCCAGATGTAGAAGCTGTGAGACAAACAACTTCTTTCTTCGACTACACAAGTTGTGTGTCATTAACTTTACTGCTACAATTAGAGAGACAACCGTTGCTATGTTTCTCTCAACATTCTACATTACCATAGTAACAAACAGACACAAACTGTTACTGTGGTTGTGTGAAGGTAAAACACCACAGACATAGGAACACAAGATAAAAGTCTGTGTTCTCCACAGTGAATGGTGAAATATGTTCACAGAGTCGTCTACATACGTACCTAAAATACTCAAGAATTCAACACAACAGAAAAAGGAATATCAATGTTGAAAATGGAGTAAACAGATTGTAAATCCCAATGTTAATAGGCTGTATTGGAAAACTACCCTTCCTGAAGACTTAGATATATTCTTCACATTTTGTTTAAAGGGGCCCTATTATGCTTTTTGGGTTTTCCATTTCCTGTTTCTGTGCATGTAAATGGTCTGCAAAGGCTAAAATTCATGTGTTCCTTCCAGAGGGAGTTTCCCTGCCACACACCCCCCCTCCCTGTCTGAAACGCCTCCATTGGACTCCTTTTCACTTCAGTAACATAGTGACATCACTATGTAACACTCCTGCTTCAATTGGCTAGCTCTTCAACGCATTGGACTTGATAGGCTAAGGGGCGGGACATCTCTAAGCAGTTGACAAATCACAACAGAGCCGGCCAGCTAACCAATCAGAGCAGACAGGGCTCTGGTTTCAGACAGAGGGTGAAAAGAGGTGCTGCAGCACAGGCAGTATGAGAAAAATAAATAACTTTTTGAACATTAAAGCATGGAGACATGTCACAAGAGGCACAAAATACTAATATGAAATCGAAATGGTTGAGGTAAGAAAGTCATTGATGTCAATGCCCTTATACTACTGCTATCAATACCGCTAATATGGCTCTGGAGCTAGGGATCAGGTGTAAATAAACCAACACACACCCGGGAGAGGCCGCTCCTCAGCTCCAGATACATGATGTTGTCTTGCAGCAGCTCCTCCAGGCCTCTATAGAAGTAATCCTTCAACACGGGCGCGTGGCTGATGAGCCCCGCAGCAGCGATGAAGGCTTTCTCAAACTTCTCCCACACAACCTCTTGGCTCGGATACTCCCCGTCCGGGTCCTCAGTGAACAGTGTGAGGTGCTGCATTAAACTGAAACACACCCCAAACAGATCATCTGGGTTACTTTCTCCCAATATATAGTTCTTTCAAAGGCCTTTTTATCGATTCCATTCAAATGTGTTGCTTTTTCTGAACATTCCTGTGTCACAATAAATAACGCAAAAGAAAACAACAACATACAAGTGACAACAAAAGATTTAAAAAAAATTGAAATAGAAACTCAATGAGATGGACAGGAAAAAACACCAATAATAGAGAGAAGAAAATATAAACAAAAGAAAGAAAATAGATCAATTTAAATAAAACTAAATTAAAGTGGACCTATCATGCTATATTATAATAATATAGTGTAGGACCATACCTATATAAGGCATATTTATACTTTTTTTTCCTTCAAAATACCAAACAGATCATGCATTTTAGCCATGCCTCATTTCGCTCAGTTTGCACTTTTTTAGCCCTGTTTTTGCAAGCGGCTGATTCTGTGAGAACAGCACCACCTACAGGCCTGGCATATGTACTACAGCGTCTCCATCGCTTTCGAACGGCAATGGCCGTGGCTGTCTCCTCCTGATTGGTGGAGTTGGCCCAATAGCCGTAGCGCCACTGTCCTGACGTCAGGACAGTGTTCAAATCTGGATCAGTTTTTATCAGATCCGTTGCAGCCCCTTTTTTAGAGATTTGGGTATGGAGGAAAATAGAGAGGGTTGTGTTTTCTGACACTTGGTGAGTTCCCTGGAACACCGGGGACACATATTCATGTATAAAAGACGTACAAAAGTGCATTTTGCATGATAGGTCCCCTTTAAATAAGATGAAATCAAAATAAAATAAAAATACATCAAATACGATAAAATAAAAAGATGTTAAATAAGATTAAATAAAATACAATACAAATACATTAAATAAGATGAAATACAAATACAATAAAAATACATTAAATAAGATTAAATAAAAATACAATAAAAATACATTAAATAAGAAGAAATCAAAATCAACTCAAATTGAATTGAATACATTGACCTGAAATGTGTAAGGTAAGCTCATGTATTACTCAACCTGTTATCAAAGCCTTCTGTGTTTCCTATCCTGGCTCTCAAGGTCTCCAGCAGCTGCCAGTAGAAGCAGTCCCACCGTGGGAAGGGCTGGCGGTCGGAGAACAAGAAGCGCACCGAGTTGTCCCAGGTGAAGCAGATGTAGCAGTCCGGCCTGTAGGTGATGTTTTTCACCAGCCATTCAACACCAACCAGAGAGGAGGTGTGGATGTGGAGCGCTGCACCTGGCACAGAAACACCAAGAAGGTACCTCAAACTCACACTGAGGGGCTGAGCTATACGACAGTAACATACAATGAAGATCTTGGCTTCTATTTTTTTTTGTAATTTTATGAGCAGGCTTGCTGTATTTAATTCAAAAAAGAAAGCAATAATAGTGTGAGACATTATGCACTAATGATATTACAGTCCTTTTACCTCAGACTAACGGTCGTGTGGTTTAGAGTCATTTTTGGTATCATTTTGTAATTTTCTTTTTGCATTATGTTGCAGTTGTATAGTTCTCTTGTGTAGTTTTTGTGTCTTTTTACATCTCATTGTTGAACTTTTCTTCTGTCTCCTCATCAACGTTTTGTATTTGTAGTCATGTCTGTGTCTTTGAAGTACATTTGTGTAAATTGGTAGTAAAAATGAATTCCGAGATGTTATTTTGTGTCTCTATTAGTCACATTTTGCGTGTTAAGAATAACTATGAGGTGCTCCTATTGGTTGAAAAATAATATGTAGTTCCTGTTAGATATGAAGAGAGACTCATGTCCCAAACTTCCTGCCACAACACATATAAGAAAATTGTGAAAATTAAACAAAATATTACAGGAAATCGTCAAAAGAAGTACGTTTTAACTTAAAACAGTGCTTTTTTTCTCAAACTGATTTAAGATGCATCTATTAAACTCTATTCGAGTTATGGTACGTTAATGAAACGTTACTGTAGCCTCTGTATGCTGCGCAGCTTTAAAATGAAACAGTAAAGAAAACACAAATTGTGAGACTACCTTTGGGCATGTCCTGCAGTAGTTTGAAGATCGGACTCTTCTGGATGAGAGGCTTTGCTTTGAAGAAGTGGACAGCGGGGGGGAACAGTGCTGCAGACATCTCCTGCTCCTTTAACTGATGGAGGTGGAGGTCCAGCATCTGCTCGGCCTCCGTCAGCGCCACCCGGCCCCCCGTCTGCCGGGACGCCTCCTGACGCATCAGCAGGTCCCTCTGAGCGGGGTCCGGAAACCCCTCACTCAGCCTCACAAACCACAGCAGCGGCACATAAGTGACCACAGCCTGGAAGATGGACATCACCATGTCCTCAGGAGGGAGCAAGAATATGAGCACACCCCCGCAACAAGAGCAGGCTGATGCTGTAAAGAAAGAAATACTTTGTGAACTAATGACATTAAATACCTTTGACCTGGGACGAGAGGTTGTGTATTTTCCTTTTTGCCACATAGTGGGTTAATAAAATCTAACAAAGTTGTTTCAAGTCATCAAAGTGATAACATGCTGCTCAGCCTGCATTACGGACCTGAAAGAGCCTATTCTACATTAAGAACATGGCGAAAATAAAAGTCAAGGATGGAACTAAAACTTTAAAAGTAAATCTATCTAGTCAAAAACATGAAATACTTACAAGTAGGAAGGAGCTTCTGGGGTCCTGCGTCTCAGCTCAGCCGTCTCAGAAAAAGACTTCTCTATGAGTGGAGCATGTCAGCAGAATACTCTTGAGCCACAGGATAATTGGGGACATTTGTCTGACAAATACCATGTGATAAACTAATGAATGAAGCATGATTGCAAAAACATGTCAAAAAACTGACTGACTGAATACAAATAATAAAATAATGAGCACAGACGTGGGACTAATGATTTATAATTTTATTTCATTTAACATTTCCACAATATAACATCTTTAGTTTAAGACAAAAAAAGACAAAACAACAACCACACATAATTTAATCAGGATACGTCATATACACACAGTGGACCCTCTGGAATGATATCAGCCACTCGTTTAATTCATGACAGAACACCAATAAATTAACTCTGCAACGTCGTGTACGGCCCTCAGCTTTGCTTCCAGGATGCCATTTACTTTCTCAGTAATTGGTTGGAGCAGACATCCATTAGCAACACAATGCCCCATGCAACTTATAACACGTGGGGCAGAGGTTACCGACACGAAAGCTGTGTTTGTCATGATCCAATTAGAGGACAAAGGGGAGCAGCGGAGTAAACAACTGTGCAGTACCCACAATGCACGTCTGTAATGTTGAGCTGCAGCGTCTATATTGTCCCTTAATGCACAGAAAAATACAGCAATACATCACACAACAATATCTTTTGCATCGGAGATTTGTTTCACAGACAGAGGAATGACGTCTTTCTTGTGACAAAAGAAGAAATACAAAATAACAAGGAGAGATTTTCTCGAACACAGCGGAGCCACTTAGTCCAGAAACTTGCGGTTGGGGTTAACGCCGAAGAGAGACACTCGGACTTCAGGCATCATCTGAAACACAGACACACGGATTATTGTAAGCAGGAGGCAACTAAAGATTTATTCGCTGATTTTTCCCCGAATCATTGATTGGTCAAAAAATATATTGAAAAGGTGTGCCACAAATATTTTCCTAATACCCGAAAGGACAAAATTGTCAAGTCTAAAACCAAAAGATATGCATAGGGATGGGTACAGGTATCTTTAAAATGTTAACAGTACTACTACTCTTATCGATACTGCTTATCGATCCGGTACTTGAACAGTATTTTTATTAGTACTTTTTGTAAAAAATGTTGAGGGAAAAACTAAACGAATTGGAAACCGAATTAACGTTGCTTTATTTAAATGTGAAATAAAATAAAAATATATTATTATAATAATATTGTACTGTACTATTTACATTTTTTGCTACTTTGTACTTCTACTCCACTTTAATTCAGAGGTAAATCGTGTACTTTTACTCTACCACATTTATATAATCAAAACATATAATATATATTTTTCTGAAATGGACCAATCTGCAGAATGAGTACTTTTACTTTTGGTACTTTAAGTATATTTTGTTGCTAATACTTTTGTAATTTTACTTTTGGTACTTTAAGTATATTTTGATGCTAATACTTTTGGTACTTTAAGTATATTTTGATGCTAATACTTTTGTAATTTTACTTTTGGTACTTTAAGTATATTTTGATGCTAATACTTTTGTAATTGTACTGGAGTACCGTTTTGCAATGCCTGCCTTTTACTTCTAACAGAGTATTCCTACATTCTGGTACTTGTTTACTTAAGTGCAAGATCTGAGTACTTCTCCCACCTTCTCTAATGGAGTGAAGAGTGCGGAAATAATTATATTTCAAGTTAGAAACGGAGTTGGTTTGATCAAATGTGCAAGATAACATTTAAGTAGCAATAGTAAATATGAAATCTTCTAAATATATATTTTTTCACCAGTACTGATAGCAAAACCAATAACGTTGAGCTTATCGATACCACGGTCTTTAAAAATGCAGCCTCGGGGCCCATTTAATACTGGGTTTCAGTACCCATCCCTAGATATACTTAGGTTTAAGAATATGCAGCTAGGGAACATTTTAGGAGACCATAGAGGTAAAGACTACCCAACATGAAATATGACACAAAGCTCAGAATTAGTAAGTGTAAGCTAAATCAAATTTCCAATTAGAATCATGTTCAATATATCCTAAAAACAACTTGAATTGCTACATAAATGTAAACTTGAATTTGTTGATGAGACCGATTTAAAAGTACTCGTAAATAAAAGTATGATAACAGATATATTTATCCATAAAACATGTGTCACTCCAACTTGTGACACATGGGGTCACTTGTTGTTTCTCATGTAATGAATGTAAGGCTTGCCTAACGTGAGAGCTACGCTAATGTCATTTGGTCAAATGCCTCTTAACAACCACATCCCTCATTTCAAATGGAAATTCAATTCAAAGCAATAAAAGGCAATTCATGTATTTATTTGACCTTTGTTTAGCCAGAGAAAGAAATCTCACCAAGCTAAATATATATATTGGTTAGGTGTATGCTCACTGTAAAAGCAAAGGAGAGTTCCTCTAAATGTTTTCTATTCTCAAAATAAATAAAGAATAATAGTCCATAAAAAAAATAAAGTTTGGGGTTCTTTGAAACTACTGTAAACGTACCTATATCCATTAGTTTCAATAAATGCATTGATGACATGTAGGAACAAGATATTTTCAACATGAAATGAATTAAAGAGGGGATTAATAATAAATAAAGACTAGAAATGAAACTTGAAAGAACGTTTATTATGCAGGTTTAAGAAATGAAGGATTTGAGAGTGATAATATACCTGCTGAGCCATGAGGTCCAGTCTGCTCTCCATCGTGTTGGCCACCTTGATCTTCCCGTTAGCATTATAGATCTCCACGCCTCCAGCACTGAAGAAGAAGAAGACAAACATCAAAACAAGAACATGGCGATAAATCTAACTTTATTATCAACTACGTTTTTGTCAGTGTCTCTTCTGAATCCAGAAAAACTCTCTCTCCGTCAGGCATGTTTAGTTCAGTCACAGAAAGAGAGCGTTTGGTCAACATCAAAAGTCAATCTGTTTGGAAACGCTTTGGTTTCAAGGGGTTTGGCAAGGAACAACAACAAATACTGAGAGACAGCTGTTAGACGGTGGTGTCTGCACCACAAGGCAGGACAAGTTGGTCAATCAGATGGAATTCAATCACATAAAGGTCCCAACAGACTACAAAACAGGAATGAAGCCTGCATGACTTCTTAATGCGCGGTTCTCAATGAGAAAGGTGTTAAATAGCCCTGCAAGTAACAGCTATTTTGTATTATGGATTGATCTGCAGATTACTTTCTAGATTAATCAATTGGTCTATTAAATGTCAGAAAATAGTAAAAAATGTCCAGTCCAAGATGATGTAATTAAATGAATGATCCCAAAGATATTGAGTTTAATATGATATGAATCAGAAAATAAACTGAAAATCTTGAAATGTAGAGGCTAAAAACAACATTTTCTGACTTTTGCCTATAAAATGTGTTAAATTACTTTTTTATTATAAAATAATGGGCTATTACTTTTCTATTGACTGATTCATTGTATGCAGTTCTACTGTTAAATAATTGAGATCTCAATATTGAATAATATGAATATGAAGCAAAAAAAGGTTTAGTTTCAGGGGTCATTTCAACTTGATGATGAAATATGATGCTTACACGTCGGGGGGGATGAAGTTGTCCTGGTCGATGCGGGCCTCGATGTTGATCTTCACAGCGGCTTTATAAATAGGAATATTCCTCTGGATGGAAGCCTGGACGGCAAAAAGTCACAACACAATTTAGATTCAGATGTCAACTGATTTTAAGAGCAGGAACATCAAATAGTTGTGATCAAATAAACAACTTGAACTCTCTAACGGACTCACCTGTACCATCTGCACGTCCTGTTTACGGCAGCGAATTGTCACTTTGGGCTCCAGGAGCTGATACAATCCCTGGTACGAAAAAGATTATGAAAAGATCATCAAACCTGTTTTTAAAATCTCAAAACAGCCTCATCATAAACATACACACTCAGTCAGACACACTCATGCAGTCTGATACAACCATTCTGCGATACATCCTCCCTTTACTCAGATGCTGTTGAAAGATGTTGATAAAGCCTTAGATGAATATGCAGGAGGCAGTTTGTGCCCCTGTAATGACTATTGAGTGCCTTTATTGATGTCAATGGGGTGGACAAAATAGCAGAAACACCTGTCTGTCAGCAAAGAAACACAACAAGCTTTTTATTAGCAACCCCCCACTTTAAAATGTTCTTTTAGTCTTTATTATTTACCTACCTTTATATTGTTTTATTTATTTTATAGGTCAGAAGGATTATCTTATATTATTAATCTAACATGCTTCAATAGCAATATTTATTTTTACGTTGGTCTTTTTTATTTCTTAATTGTTTAACCTTTATTAGAATTATTTGTATTACCATTATCTTTTTATTTGTATTTCTGTAGTACCTATATGTTCACTTTGTTTTATGGGGTTTTATATTTTATATTGTTGCATCGATTCAGTTGTCTTGTGTCTTATCTGTCGGAGAGAAACCATTATTTATTTCATTTGCATTATCATACCTTTGACCTCCTTGTGTCTATTAACCTGATAACATGTTATATTTTGCTGCATGTACCTGTAAAGCTCTTAACAAATAATCTGAGGGGTATTTCTTGTTGTTTATTTTTAACTTGTGATGTGTCATTTTGTAAAGCACTTTGAGCTCAATGTGTTGTATGAAAAGTGCTATATTAATAAAGCGTTATTATTATTATTATAACAATTGAATCTAGACATAATCAAAACTGAACATTGTGACCTTTAGGAAGGAAGGATTTATTGCAGGGCGTTTGTATTAGACTACATTAAGGTTAGTTGGTGTACTTGTGTGTAAAGAAGCTGAGAGGATAAACCCACCTGTAGGATCAAGCCGTCCATCAGAGCTGGATACCTGGCTGGGTCTTTTGCGATGTTCCCGAGCCGTTGGCGGGCCTCGTTCAGCATTTCCTGAGGACACAAATACACACAGGGTTCCTATTATTCAAATATGGTGCACTTACACAATCAGTCTCTCCTCTGTATGCACAGTATGACTGCGTGATGACAGAGCTTGAGTTATAACTGCTTACCGAGATCATATCGTCCCGGGCCTTCAGCACCTTCAGGCGAGCCTGGTTCATCAGGTTTGACATCTGACTGTTAAGTAGACAAATAGCAAATACATTGGGTCTGTTTAGACTTGTGAGGGATTTTTTTTGTTGTGCGGAAAACCCTAAGACTGTTTTGGGCCAGGTCACAAAAGCGTCATTGTAGGATAAAGTGATCGAATAAAATCCCGGAAACTCTGTGTCACACGTACAGATATTTATTTGTCCTTAAAAAGGGAAGAGGACTGGATGTGTCCTGTGATGTGTCTCGCTTTGACTCACATTTTCTTCTGCTGCTCGATCTGCTTCTCCTTCTTCTCGTAGTACTCCATGATCTTCAGCCTCTGGGTTTGGACCAGACGGCCCTTCTCAATGTTGAACTCCTCTTCTGCCTGCAGGAGGAGACACAGTTATATCTTTCTGTTTCTGTGATCTTTAACCAATAATCAGTTCTGCTGGTTAATTTGTGATATGAGAGACACGCGTATTACACAATAAAAAAATAGTACACGTCAGAATATGAAAGGCTATTACCTTTGGAGCTATAAATATGGCATAACATTGTGAAATAAATGTTATATTTACAAATAAAAGACACTTTTTATGCATAACAAGACAAAACCTAAAAATATAAAATGTTATTTTTTTTTTAAATAGAGAAAAAGAGCATATCCTTATATCAAAGAATTAAAAACAGTGATTTTTAAACGTTTTAAATGAAACTGCTGTTTATAATGTGTAATGCAATACTTTGTGTGCTCTTAGCGCCCCTAGTGGTAAGTATCACAAAGGAACAAATGGATAGGATTCATGCATTTTAAAACTTGTAAACTTATTTTTAATGTAGAATCAATGTCTTTAATTATGTATGTTAATTGTCTGATGTTATGCATCCGTGTGTGTTTGCCTGTGCTTATACTATATATTTTAATATTGTGTTAACATCAACACCTGTAAATACATGAACACTGAAACTAAACTCAGTCAGATGAGTGCACAGCACAACAGTGCATTTCGAATCAATTAAAAAAAGGCCATAACTGCTACATTACAGGCCCAAATGTTATCAAATCTAGAATAAAGATACATGTTTATGCTGACATTAAATCAAGAATTAGTTCATTATTTTTCAGCTTTTCTCTCCTCTCACTTCCTGTCAGCTCTCTGCTGCTGACTCATTAATAAAAGCACAACATGTCCAAAAGAATACGTTTTAAAAAAAAGGAAGGGATTATTAATCATCCCTCGGGGTTTCTCTCCACAGCACTGTGTGATTTTACCTTTGCATCAATTTCTTCTGCCTTCTCGTTGGCCTCCTGTTCAATGAAGGCCATCATGTGCTTGATCTGTACACAGGAGGGAGACATATTAAAAACAACCGGGTTCCTCAACGAAAAATATATAGATTCCCCCCACATGTGTTATGGATGCACACGGTTTCATAATGAACATTCAGTCTTAGGAACTAACTGCAAATCATCGTCTCTCTCTTAATGAACTCAGAGGCGATCGTCACCCTGCTGTGAAGCGACTCTGTTGTCTTACTTTAGAACACTGGTGAGGAATGTCTCTGCCAGCCGTGTAAGAAGTATTAGAAGCATTTACTCAAGTAAAACAACCTAAACCACACTGTGAAAACACTACTCTTAAATCATAAGTTCTGCATTTGAAACCTGAATTAAGCAGAAGTATATTTTGGGAAGATGTGTGAATAGTACTTGAAGTTTGAGCAGTTAAAGGCTCCACGTTGTTGGTAGTCTTTATAAGATGTTTATGGAGTACATGTTTGCTACATGAATGTGTGTGTTGCATTTTACTCCTGTAGATGTTCAAAGGAACACATTATGCTTCAGTTTAGGGTAAATTGTAATCGGACATAAAAAAGTAAAGCTGGCAACTTTTGTTGAGAAAATACAAATATTTGTCTCTGGGATGTAGTGGATTATTAGTATAAAGCTGCATTAAAAGAACATACTCAAGTTCTCAAATACAATTACTGTGTACCTCATTAAATTCATACAGTTTATTTTAACCACCAATTAACACTTGACCTTAACTTGTGTACAGTTAGCTTCTGCAGCATTGCATTTTCTCATATGAAGGTTATTTCCATTAAAAAGTCCAGACTGTGGCTCACTCACTCCTAGTTCCTCATCATGTGCTGATCATGTGATCATCCAGTAATATGAACCTCTAAATATCACCCATACGACCCAGCACAGGTTTCAAAATGGTTGCTTATTTAGCTATAACACGCATATTTACGTATAAACCCTCCATTCAAACACACCCTCAATCATCGCATTGTGTATGGTTAGGGTTTATATCAATGCTAACCTCCTGCAGCTATCTCAATGTCATTCTGTTGCACACACTGTGTATTGCAGCTACTAGAAACATTTCACAGCGTGTTAATGAGACGATTAGCAACGTGAAACTGCTCTAGCATCGACCAAAGAGAAACAGATGGATGGTGACAGTATTGAAGGTTAAAAGGGTTTATTACCTGCTTCTGAACGTCGGCATCGCTAAGCGCCATGGCTGCAGCTGTCAGAGGTCCGTGCAGGCCTGCGAGCAGAATTAACAAAAAAATACAATAATTAAAACCGCCGAAAAATAAAACAAAGCATGAATGATAACAAGGGTATGTTAACAATGCAACGAGAGCCTTAAATCCGTGTATATTTACCCAAAAATCAAAGACGAGGAGGTATGAATTAAATCGCCGCAGTCGTGACTCGTAAAGATGTCTACGGAGGATCAGCTGATTGGCGTCGTCACATGATGTTTACTTCCGGTCGAGCAGCCAATCACGTGAGAGAATAAGAGACGCGTTTAACCTGCTGCAGAAAGCAGAAAAGGTATGTGGTATTTTTGATAAAAGAACAAAAAAATACGTCACATACATTTGTAAGTTTGTATAGTACCATTACTAATGATATAGGAACAGCAATGATTATACAGACACGAACATTCAAAAATAAAACACGTACTTTTTTCCTCAACAAAGTTGAGTAATATGTGAAAGTATGTTCTTATTCGACTATTTTTGTCTTATATATATATAATTGTTTTAGTTATATACTTTCCCCTGTAAGCTCTTACTCAATGTGTATCATGTTGTTTCCTTTAAATTCTTTAATGTTTTTATCAGCTATATTCTGTACTATTTGTCATTTTTATAGCTAATTTATTGACAATGCATTGCATATATTTAAAATATTAAATATGTACTTCATTTAAATGTAATCAATTTAAATTGAGTTTTAGTCTCTTGTATTTGATTATTTCATTGTTTGTTTGTTTTACAATCTTGTACATGTTGCCATGCAGCTGTACCATTTAAAAGCCTCCCCTGGCATTGTTTCCATTCTTGTAACACCTCTCACCAGCAGAGGGAAGTAGAATATGGAAAGTTCAGCGTTAGAAATAGCTCTTCTCCTCGTCTGGCATGCGTTTTCCACTTGGTGTCACAGCAGCATACTGACTGACTGACTGACTGATAATATGCTGTTTGGACAGTGGACATAAAACTCCAGAGGCTTGTTTACCAGAATAAAACACTCACCCACTGACCTCTGCTGACCCTCCAGAGACTGTGAACACACAGGGTAAAGTCTGATTGAAACATTCAAATCATTTTTCACCTTTTACCTGCATTTTCCTAATCTTTTTCATTCTGAACAGCCAGCAAAGTCACTACTGCCTGCTCTCCAGCCAACTGTTATGTCACAGATTTGGGTAGTGGGGTGGGTGAGAGAGAGAGAGACTGATAGGGGGAGAGGGAGGGGGAGAGACTTTTGCACAGCTTGTCCATCTTGTTAGTCCTGTGCCAGCTCCAGCATGCATGTCTGCCTATCTGTTGTTGTGTGGCTTCGTGTCTGAATGCACGTCTCACTTTGATCTCCAGCGTCTGCTTCTCATCTAGCATCTCGTTCACCACCGTCACCAAGAAGACACAGGTATGCTCTGTTTTGATTTACATTGCAGAAAGTTTTAGCAAAGTCTGAAATCAGAAGAAAGAAAGTTGAATGCATATACTGATCTGAACGTGATCTGATTTCTCCTTTGCTTGTCGGGCATTGTTAAAAGTGTGTCATCTGTAAACATGTCAAGGGTCATTACAAGTCACTCTAATGTTTTGAAGGACAAAACTTCACCTTGCACGATGCAAAGAAACTAACACGAAGGGCTAGTTTGTTTTATCTCAATAAGATCCTGCACTTTGACATTGACAGCTGACCTTTTGTAAATGATTGTATCTGATATCCCTCTGTCCTCATCTCACTTTAGCACAGATACAGTGCCTTAAATCTTCTTGATTATTTACTTCACCATGAGTCTGTTATTGTTAGGATAGGATCAATGGAAATCCAATTACTCAAGTAGGCCAGTAAGCAAAAGAAGGGTCACAGAGGAGAAAGGGTTGATTGCTTTCAGTGCAGGCAGGGACACAGGAGAGACTCTGTTTGTGAACGTTTCAAATGTTTGGGTGACCAACTTTAATGTTTCAGGTCTACAGGGCACACAGCTTGGGTCAGACAATATGGCCGCTATTGGTCATTAAATGGGTGACGACAGGGGGGCGTCTCTCACAGTCTGCTCACTCTGGAAGAGGTGGAGCCAACATCAAAGGATTTAAGTAATGAGACCATACAAAATATCCTCATCATGAATACAACAAAAAAAGCTTTAACACAAAACTGAGCATTCATAATCAGGTCATTTAGCTCTTTAAGTCGTCACTGTGTACTGGAAATGTTTATTCAAGGCAAAATGAGCTTGTTTTTATTGATTTTGTCCAGCTGCTAGACTCAGTTTCAGAAGGTTTCAACCAAGCTGTTGTGCAACAGGAAGGAAGGAAGGGGTTTGCTTTCCACTGTGAGGCAACACATGAAATAGTGTTTTAGTATGGGAATGCATGGGAATAAGGAAATAACAGAAAGTAATACAAATCATGAATGTAAGAACACACTTTATATATTGATAGGACTTTTTTACACATAATAATAGTTGAGGGTGGGGGAGGACTTTCAAGTTTTCATTAACTCATTTCCAAAGTCACACCTACAGAAGTTTTGAAGGGAAAGTAAAAAAACTGAAGACGAAAGAAAACGTACATTTAAATATTTATATTCATGCAGTCATATCTAAACATGATCCAAATCAGTGTTTTCAATATGTATCTATCTGTGATCCAAAGAATACCATCCAACTTTCTACAAAAAGCCTATTACATCCCTCTCTTAGACCTTAGATGTTGAAACAAACGTACTTAGGGTCTAAAAAAGGAAAGGGGACCGTTGGATTTCTTGAATGCATCCAAAATATTACCAAGGGGATACATTATTGAAAAATGTTTTGGAAACACTACTCATATCGATTATTCTTGTTTACAAAAAGTTTAATTATTCACATTATTTAGGCAATAATCAGAAAAACAAAGTCATGTGATAAAGCCTTCTATCACAATCTAACATCTGAATAAAACTAATAATATTTCTGGCTACAAAACACTGGGTGAAGCTTAAAAAATTGGACTGATTGAGGTACTGAAAACGTATTCCAGAAATGACATTAAGATACAGGTTCTTACATATTTAGATCCAATCCAAAACCAATCTGGAACCAGGTCTCAGGAGATATATCTCCAATACCTCAGAGGGCTCACACCTGACCTCTGTAATGAGAGGTGGTCTGAAACATACAGTGAAGAGCAAGAGTATCTATTCCGGGGTGGCATGGGGGCAAATACTTCATGCAATCAAAGCTGAGACGTGACACAAGGGGTGAGGAGGGTCACCTTGAGACACAAAAAAACACAAGAGTGGTCAAATTTCATCAGAAATTGTATTAAGTTGACATCAAATGTTGTTATCAAAGTATTGTTAAGAATAAGTGTTGGGCTGCTGGAATGTTGGTGTTTCAGACAGTCAATAATATGTCACTCCCACGCTGTGCTCCTACTTGTAGGATTCTCACGTAATGTAAAATCACTGGAATAGCTTCCACTCTTGGGTGACAGATGGAGATGTATATAGTGCCTAAACATAGTAAGATATGCAGGTCGAGGCTATAGTTAGTCACAGCCGCTGCAATACAGAGCAGTCGGTGAGCAACTTTTTCCAACCACAGCGTCACTGATGTCACTGAGAACACTGACCTGTTGAAGTAAGCATGTTGCAGATCATTATTTACTAAAGCCACTGTGAGGAGACATATTAGTTATGCTGAAACATTTGTCAATCTTTAGTTCAGTATTTGTGTTGGGTTCTCTGTGTCATATCATGCCTTGCTGTCTGCCACAATTTATTTTGTTGCATCAATTTGAAGTCAGAGATTTTCATAATGTACTAATTACATTATCAAGGGTAATCAAGGGTACTTATGATGTACGTGTGTTTGAATGTTGGTCTTGAGTCACTTGACATGACATCATGAAATATAAGTGCTATGTTTACATTAGTGTTAAAACAACTTTAAACAAAAATTGGTTGGGTTTTGTTGCACTGTCATGTTTCTACAGTAGCTTTTTTTTTAATATTGTTTATATTTGATATACTATTTTAGATTTTCATTTTATTTGTAATTGTTAACTCTATTCCACTTTTTAAGTATTTGTATTTTAATGTTGAGCACACTGGTCCTGTAACAAAATCATTTCCTTGTGTTGTCCCTTCTGAATTGTGTTGTCCCTTCTGAATTGTGGTGCTCCTTAAGAAGTTTAATGTTAACTGATATCGATATTGATAACTAGTATTTTATGAGTTGAGCGAGGCGGTAGTCCTGAAAGATGCAATGGCGTAGTGTACTTGGGTGTCCATGCGGTGGCTCCTTACTGCAGTAAAGAAAGGGTTATTCAAATCCCACACACTGAAACTGAAGTAAACTGAAAGTTCACCCTCTGAAGATCTATTTTGTCTCTGCAGCAGCCGGTCTTCATTCTGGAGGGAAAGGCCCCAGTCGAGTCCAGCAGGGGGGATGGAGGAGATGGGGAGTCTGGATCCCTCAGCCCCACCTCTGCTGATATGCCTCTGACCCACGTAGAGACTTTGGCCCCCTGGCAGAGCGAGAGCCTGCTGGCAGAGTCCTGGTCCACGGTGGGCGATGCAGACCCTGAGGACACCAAGAGCCTGGACAGCAATGACGACCAGGGGCTGGGCGGAGAGGAGAACCACTCCTCCAACTCTGACATGGTCCACCTAGAGCGAGAGGAGGCGGAGATGCTCGAGGAGGCAGAGAAGGAGGAGGCGGCGAGGAGGACAGAGGAGGAGGAGGAAGACGACGACGAGCTGCAGACGAGCGTGATGAGTGTTTTAGGCGGGGAGAGGGAGCTGGTGGAGCTCAGAGAGGAGGAGCAGGACCTCATCGCCCCGGAAACTGAGGGGCTCCTGGTGTCAGCGGAGGAGCCGTACAAGAGAAAGGAGCCGGCAGAGTTCATGCAGGTGGTTCCCCCCATGGCGCTGCCTCCTCTGCCTATCGTCAAGTTCGACCCCCCCTCCACTACCTCCACCCCGGTCCCTTCAACCACAAGCTCTGAAGCCGAGGAGCTCTACCCCACTCAGGGGCTCCAACCTCCTTCTATCCTTGCACGTATGGCAGCAGAGTCTCTGTCAGAGAGTCATGAGCAGCTACGATTCTCACAGATTCCCCTGTCGGATGTGGAGGGACATTCAGCCAAAGCCTCTGAAGCAGCACCAGAAAAGCCGGAGCCCCCCCCGCCCACTGCGCCAGAGACTCCCACCCCTCTGAGCTCCACGGAGCTGCTGTGTGGAGGCGCAGCTCTGGTCGCGGTAGTGGGGATAGTGGCTTATGGTGCTGTGGCCTACTGTAGGAAGTAGAACTAGAATCACCCTTTAAACACAAATTTGTAAATCTATTCCAAATGAAAATATTCCACTTAACTCTCTGAGTTCTGGATTTTACTCTTTGTATTGTAGTTATTATTAGACACATTAATTTGATTTTTCCGATTCGTTTTGTGCTACCTCAGCTCATGGCCTTTGTTTTTCTGTATACGATTGATCTCTGATCTCTAACATGTAAGCCTGGATGTAAAATCATGTGAAGGTAGAATTTTAAAGAATCCTGAAACTTGAACTAGATGTTTCTTTGTGTGATTGTGTCTCTTATTACTTCACCAGAAAACAACATGAGGGATTCAGGGACTCTTCATATTACTCTAGACTGCTCCTGCAAAGGAAAATACTCATGAAAAGTACAAGTAACTCCAAATGACTTGTACTGCAGTACTTGAGCAAAACCACTTAGTTACTTCCAAAACTTAAAATGAACCTGCTTCTTGGCATTTTAGGGATAGAGCAAAAGGAGAAAAATCACCTATATTGTCATTTTTGAAAAACAAAGAGCAGTGATGGAACAATACTATCTTGGACTGCAGGTACATTATACAAGGTGTCTCTAAAACCCCCAGGCCTGTATCTGGACATCTGGATAATGTGCTCCTCAGGGCAGGAATTTGGGTGAAATGTGATATGTGTTCGTTTTAAAGCCCTGTCCTGCCGTCTGCTGGACAGTCTGCAATATTTCAGCTTGCAACTTTTCAGGAAATATATTAAACTAAGAATGAATCAATAAAGAAACCTCTATTCTTCTATATCCCTAACTATCATGCAATTTCTATGATTTATATATCCTTTTAGGATACCTACAGAATGGTAAGGCACCTTTTCTAAAAATGAGATTTAAAAAAAGTGAAATATGCAACTTTGTTTGCACTGCAAAAGAATAGAGAGTTTAACTGAGATTATATTATAGTAATTAAAAAAACTGCAGAAACACAGTGAAGCAGTCTTAATCTACTACTTCATCTATTTTTTTCCGATGCTTCCCCCGAGGACACGAATGTGATCTCATAGCTAATAATCATAACTCTGTGGTCACACCAGCGTTTATCCCGATAGCCTAATTATATACCAGTGGGTTTGAAACTTCTTGATTTTCGTTGAGTGCCAGTAAATAAAGAAGAACAATGGGGTTGACTGTGCTGCGGTTAGCCTGCCGTTCCCACCTCGCTGCCAACATGCACGCAGCTATTGAATTGAGAAGAGGAAGGAAAGTGCTACTCTGTTTGAAAAGATAAATGGACAGCATGTCTGCTCTGTCACAAAGACATACTGTACCACCTTCACAGACAAACAGGAATCTCTGTCTACAAACACCTAACCACATAGCAACAAATGTACTTTATTGAGTAATGCAAGAATGGCTACAATAATGATAACAACTCTGAAAAGTCTTTGAATAGTTGAAATATACAACAATTTATAAAATTATAATGTTAAATGTTGTTGTTTTTTTCAGCTTTGAAAACATCAACATGTCAAAGGTCTTTGTGAAGGATTTCAAGCAAAACTGAGCATGTTAATGTAGGAGATGACAGGCCTTTTTCTGCACTGAAAAACTGAAATGTTGACTTGAATTAATTGTATTATGTCAACAGATTTCCCATAATTGTATTAGGTTAGTTGAAAGCAATGATATTAAGTTGAACCTAATAGTTTTAATTTTTAACTTAATATTATTGCTTTCAACTAACCTAATACAGTTATGTGACAACTGTTGACTTAATACATGCAATTCAAGTCAACGTATCAGTTTTTTCAGTATTAGCTTTGTCTCAGGGGACATGTTAAACCCCTGGTATAGAAAAGAATAGAGGAGGGGCTCCCTGGTAGCCCACCTTGCAAAGCAGGCATGAAAGAACTTCAACAAGTCAACCAAGGAAAAAAGTATCCAACACTGTTGCAAGTAAATACAGAACATGATCTATTCAATATTAAAAAGAACAAAACACCTACAACACCTAACCCTAACCCCAGAGAAAGATCTAATGGAGCCAGCTCTCACAGTGCCAGCAGCAGCAGCAGCAAACATCTGGCAGGCTTCAGCTGCAGCCGACAGGTTGTGGTCTTTAAATTTATGGATTTAATTTGACAGAAATGCCCCCCTGAATGGACAGAGGGCCAGAAGGAGTGTGGTTCTTTGTTTTTTATCAGCGTGCTGCACAGGCAGGGAAACACACACAAACACACATGATCTACCCTCATGCTTAATTGTATGCTCACACACACACACACACACACACACACACACACACACACACACACACACACACACACACACACACACAACACACACACACACACACACACACACACACACACACACACACACACACACACACACACACACACACACACACACACACACACACACACACACACACACACACACACACACACACACACACCTATATAATATTAACAGGTAGGCGTTCAGGCCTCACCGCCGTCTACATATAACGGGGCTGAAAGGGGAACTTCAGGAGCAAGTCAGTTGATATTTAAAACTGCACGGCTGAGAGAAATGCACTTCTCAAAAGCCCTGTGTTTATTTGAACAGGGGTGTTGGCTATATAAGGGAAAAAAACAGGCTTAAAGTTGAACAGCGATTACTACATCATTAACCATTAACCTTTACAATCATTTTTATCTGAAGCTGCGTTTATGGCGTTCTCGTTAATTGAAAAGTTAACAAGTCAAACATATATATATATATATATATATATATATTTTGACTTGGCCTGAGCTGCACAGTGAGCCTTAACACACCTGTAGAGTGCAGAATAGTGAGCCTGTTTTTTTATGAAAAGTGGATTTAATTACTCAAATTAAAAAGGAAAGGTTTTAAAACAATTTTCACAGCAACTTTAAGGGGCAGCCAATAAACAATCTCTAATCAGGCAGTAGTAAAAAATGTCTCTGAAATGATGAGCTATAAAACAATAAAACAAGTAATAACAAAGTAAAGACAGGAACAAAGTTCCTGTTAGCAATATCTGATATTATTTGTGTGGCTTTGTGAGGAATATAAGTGATTTTTAATGTTGCTTTTAAATTAGTATTTTACTATTTTCCATCCATTTATTTCTTTTTGTGCAACTTAATGCTATAATTGCTATAATCTTAATACATTTACTGAGTAAATATGCAATATGCAAAACGTAAAAGATATATTGTGGCATTCTAACATTCAATTAAAATGGAAATGAAGTAAAAATGTTTACCACCTTTGATTTATAAGTTAGTGGTTGTGAAATATTTGTATTTTAAAAGCCCCACCGCACGCTCAAATGTTATGTTATGCAAATTTACATTTATCCACAGAGGAACATTTCCTGCAATTCCATTTCCTGCAATTCCATGATCTTCAATATCAATATACAGAAAAAACCATTATAGATGTGTATGTTAGATTCATATCACGGACGTATGCAAATTCTCAGGTCAGGACTCTAATTGTTGGTATTCCTGGTGCACGGTTGCAATAAAAGAGGTTTTTGTTGTTGGTAGATTGTGATCTCCCCTATGACGGACCGTGTGATGCTCGAATGTCTGTTTTCCAAAAAAGAAGAAGTGTTAACATTTAAATTGACCGGCCTCTACCTATTCATGAAGCTGAACGGTGAACAGGTATTGGAGGTCTGCTACATATATATACCTGTCCACACACTGCGCACCTGAACTAGTGCGGCAGTGTTCACCTCCAAGGAGAGAAATGGCTTCGACCGAGGGCAACACTCAGACATGCAAGATGGTGAGTTGATAGGATGCTATACATTTTACATTACACTAATTTTAAAGCCTTAGACTTGTATTATCTAATTCTTTTTTATTTTCCGAGAAAAAATATGATTAAAGATTAGATATTTGTGGGTGCTAATAAGGCTTTCTATCTATTGCAGACGTCCTTGGACAACGACATCAACCAACATTTCCAGGATGCAATTGATGTGATTCAACAGCATTCAAACAATTCATATTACAATTCAGGTACAGTAAAAATGGCTGAGAATGGTTGCATAATTTACTGCAATAAGACATGATTATCAAACCTCTGCTATTTTATTTTAATTTATTTTTCAATGCACAATGTTGTGCTTATAAATCCACATCTTCTTCTCTTTTCTTTAATCTGTATAATTAATTGTATCACTTTCACTGATTCAATTATATCTGATCTAGTGTATTTTTTTTCATTTCAGAGTACACATATTATGAGACTCTTGGTTCGCAGCAGCAATCTCTGCAGTGTCAAATCTCCTGCTGCCTGGTCACACACCCGTCTGATGTACCGACTCCAGTTTACGACTGGAATGACATGGCTGTAAGTTGTGCACAAAAATCTGTATTTGTGTTTAAGATATAAAAACGTGATTTTGACTTGAAATGATTCTCTTTTAGCAGCAGTCCTGGCCTCAGGTCATCCCGGATGTTTCCTTGGGTCACTCTGCGCACTGCAATGAATCGCCTCATTTCTACTCTATCTTACCACCACAGAGGAACAGCAAATCAGGTAATCAGGTTAAGGTGTTCAGCATACCTTATTCATTTAAAATGCTTTGTGACTAAAACGACCAATTCCATCTCCTCAGGTCGTAAGAAGCTCAGACTTTATGAATACCTCCATGAATCACTGAATGACCCCAACATGGGCGACTCAATCCAGTGGACGGATAACAGCAGCGGCACGTTCCACTTCATCTCCAAGAACAAGGAGAAGCTGGCCGAGTGCTGGGGCCAACGCAAGGGCAACCGCAAGACCATGACCTATCAGAAGATGGCCAGGGCGCTGAGAAACTACAGCCGCACCGGGGAGATCATCAAGGTGCGCCGCAAACTCACGTATCAGTTCAACCCAGACATCCTGCACAGGCTGGGCTCGGCACACCTGCCCTGCCGCCCGGCAGCTCAGGAGGAGGCCCACCCCCGGCAGCCCAGCCCCGCCGAACAGAGCTACTGCGGCCCTGCAGCGGCCGACTGGCACAGCTGGTACGGACACTACCAGCTGCAGGAGGACTATGACCTGGCCTCCAGCTTCAATTCACAAAACACAACCAAACTCTGAGCTGCTTCTGATCACTGAGGGGGGAAATAACTTAATAAGGTTTTTCAAAGACTTCAGTTTTTCCACTTTCAAACTTTCTGGGTCCACATCCAGTCCCTGAACCTACTACAGGCTATGGGGCTATTAATGTAATAAAAGCTGTTTAAATAACCTTTATTATCAAATGTGTATGTTCCATAAAGAGGAGTGTTACTGTAAATGAAATTGTAAATGTGAGAGCTAAATTATATAACCCCTAGATTTAAATAACAAATAAAAATAAACACCTAAATCTAACAGAAAAGTGAAAATTGGGATATAATTAGATTTAATTTAAATCATGCTTCTATTTGTGCTGCAACTTATGGTAGCACATGAATGAAGCTCTTATTAAGGGTCTGATTAACAAGAACTTAACAGGAGGTTTTTGAAAACTGAGCCCATATTTAGTCAATTTATGTTTTGTGTCACACATTTCTTTTGTGGATTTATACACTGCTAGTAAAATGTTTCACTGTAAATCAATTGTAAATACTTTAAAAACTACTAAATGAATTGTTTGAGAAACTTCTCTAAAGTTCATAAAGAATAGAGATTTATATTCTATTTCTATAGATTTGATTGACAATGTCCTAAATGTTACTTTAAAGAATGATTTAGAAATATTCAAAGGACAACATGCAGTTATATATTCAACGATGCTTACATATACTTATGAGGAAAAACACAAGGCGTAGGGTTAAGTTCTTCACTTTAGTCTGAGGAATTAAAAGTTATCTTTAAAAAATATATATATATTATTTTATAAGATGGCAGCTAGAAGCATAAAAAGGTGAACAAATCGGTCACCTGCAACAGGTGTTCATTTTAAACAATTGACCCAATAAAAATAACTTTAAAGGTCTTTACAAGACGGTGGGAGAGATAATAAGGATTATTTTATCAAAATTACAACAATTTCTACATATAAGTTTGTCTATGGCTCCTGTTTTTTAAACAACCAGTTATAAGCATTATCTTATGAAATGTAAATAATTGTTCTTGTTTTGTATACTGATTATCTTATTGTGTATAAAGAAATGTTTGCTATTATTAGAGTAATCTTTTGTATTAACCTTTTTATTTGAATAAAACCAATAAATCTATCTTTGTACTCTCACTAGTGTTTTATTTGACTGACTTTATAACAAAAAACTTCAGCCACGCTCACGTCTTTTGTCACGAAAAGAGAAAACTGTGAAATGATCAGCGTGTTGAAAGATTTTGGCACCGTCTCCATTGAAATATTGCAACAAGCGCACTACAAAATCTGAAATTAAGACACATCCTGTGAGGAAAAATGTGGCAGCAAGTGTGTTTTTCCTGAAAAGAGAGCGTTGTGTAGACGCTGCCTTCAGGCCCGGTCTTATCTGCTTCAGCGGGGAGGATGTGGTCAGTGCTGGGAGGCTTTGTTGATGGGTTGACTGGTGCCGGTGATGGGGCTTTGTGGGATGGTGGTCATTGTTCCTGTGAACATTGGGTAGCAAACGTCTGGTGTTATGCAGAAAGCCCCGCTGCTGTGGGGGGTATAATAAGAGTCCGTACACTTGAGCATCTCAAAGTCAGTTTTGTGAAATTTGCCAAACTGCAAGGACTGTACTGCATTCAACTTCAACAGCAATGGTAAAGGATGATATTAAGTATTACTTTAAAATATAATTCCAAGGCAAAACGTTGAATGTTATTAGGTATTCAAAGCTGAATTATTTTTTATTCATCAGAATTCTTACCAGGAGTCTCAATCAGATTTGGAGGTGATCCTAGAGTTCCTAGAGGAGTACTACAGACAACATGCTGCAGAAAAAGGTAAGAGGAAAGCCTGGGAAAGGAAACTACAACACCTAAAGATGAACTTAATCTTAATTTTTGCTTTTTACAGTGGACGATGTGTATTGGTTTGCAGGTGCGCCTGTTGATGAAAGATTTTCCACTCTGGAAGCGGAACCGTGCGAGCAGCGCTGGATGTGTTATGAGCCACCTGTAAGCATTACAATGTTTTTTCCCCATAAGGCACCTGTATTTATAATTTAGTAAAATGTGCAAAATTGATCCTTGTTTTTCTTTATCAAAGATCATCAAACATGAACCTCTGCTGGCACACGTCGCTCCACACGCTCTCAGCCACAACACAACAGCAACATTGTTTGAGCGTGGGTCACTGCCAAACTTTGTATCAACAACACAAGCAACCAAACACACAGCGGGGAGTGGTGAGTTCTCCTTTTTTTGGTCACTAGATACTGTTATTGCTCTGGTTGCTAGTAGCCTGGGGGAAACAATACCAAGAGAGCAAATAAGAGACCTTCCCTTTACTGTAAAAAACAATTAACCTGTGCATGGCTTAGCTCTGTGGAGTTTTTTTACATATCTATTACATATCTATCAGATAACCGCAGTGTTTACAGCCATACCCTCTCCACTGAAAGGCATCCCATCAGTGTTGAGATTTTCTGGGAATTGTTGTATTTGAGGAAATGATTAACTGTAACAGCACCAACTGTTTTAAAGTGGTACAGCTGCTGTTATATTCCCAAATCCCCTCTTCTAATTCCCTATCAGGTTTAGCCACTTACTGTTTGCTCCATGGTTGCAGGTGGAAAGGTGCGCCTCTTTCACTTTCTGTTTGAGATGTTGGAGGATCCGAACATGGCCCACTGCGTGTGCTGGGTGCCAGCATCGGCCGGCATTTTCCGCTTCTCCTCCACCAACAAGGACCAGGTGGCAGCACTGTGGGGACAGAGGAAGGGCAACAAGAGGCCCATGACCTACCAGAAGATGTCCCGCGCCCTGAGGAACTACGCCCGGTCCGGAGAGATCTTCAAGGTGAAGAAGAAGCTCACCTACCAATTCAGCCAAGAGACACTGATGTTACTGCGGAAGTGTTAACGTGGTGATCTGTAGGGTGGACTAGATTTTGTGTAGCTCATTTTCACGTCATCTATAAACCTATTTTGTGTCCTTATATTTAATCTAAAAGCTAACACTTTCCAGTGTGTCAATATTGTGAGTAAAAAACTGTTCTTTTTAGATTGAGTTTATGGTGTAAATAATAAATAAAATAAAAAACATATTTCACTCTTGCAAAGCTGTCATCATTTTATTGTGTTTTTATATTATTTTAGGTAAGAATTGTTCTTAGCTGATATAGATAAAGGCTAATTCTATGTTTAGTATGTCAAGGTAAAAGATAACATGTCAGCCACACTATATTTTGAAGTACAGTATAAGGATTAGATTGTCTATTATTAATATGTATAAGACTATAAAACAACAGTATAGATGGAAACAAAGTTGAATTCAGCAAGACTTCTCTAAAGTAGTTTGTATATACTGTATAATATTGCAATTGACTAACCCTAACTCTTATCATCATTTATTCATATTTTCTATGGTTTCCGGCATACATAAAAGAATGCCGTAAAACATTAATATTACAATAATAAGAAAAGAAAAACCACATTATATAAATGTGTATAACATGTCAGTACGTGTTTAGATCAGTAATATACAAATTATCTAAAAGCAACAGTAGATTTATTTCTCAACCAACCACATAGTAATTATATTGGTCAACATAAATCTCAAAAGGCAGTTCAGGTTTCCCATTGAGTAGATTCCTACTGAGACTAATGTGCCTCTTCGCCTGTTGTGAGAGTGTGTTTTCCTTCATGTACAATCTTTGGCTGGCTGCAAAGATCCAGAGGGTGTCAGTGTAGTCCATCTCAAAGCCCCTCTGCCTCTTTTCCTTTTCCCTGTGGTGTGACCTCATGGCTAAATCGCCTCTGTGATGTGAACCCTCGGCCATCCCGGGCAATACCAAATGGTTTTGTGCTGTTTGTAGCAGACCCACATGATACCTCCCTAAGCCCAGTATTTACTGCTGGTGCCCACTGTGGGTTATAAATGGGTGAACTGAGCTATGAGTGTCTGTTACCAAGAAAGGCCACATACAAAGAGTCATGTACGAAACTTCTTAATTAAAAACGTCCACATCACATGACATGTGTTCGCCTGCATGTGACTCATTGAGGATCTTTCTCTTTGCTATGATTGTTCAAGCAAATATCTGAGAGTGGATATAGGCGGCATTCCTGTGCACAGACATTATCTACGGCCCCTAAAATAGAGCTGTGCCTTGTCTTGACTGTCCTATTGGCTTGTCTGAGGATTTGAATGTGAATGTTTTAAGTGCACTTCCATGTTCAGATCATTAACATGCTAAAGTGGTAAAGATATTGTTAGATTCTCTGCAGACACCTGGTACTGTCCAGGCTTGCTGGAGCTCGTCCAAATCCAGCAGTCTTGTTGTTTAATCTTCGCAACCTTTGATCGGACACCACATCTGATTTATCACTTGTGGTTTGACGTGCTAAAAAGATTAATTAGGACCAAAGCAGTAACATCAATGACATAATTCACAATGAAAGTCTCTTTTCATGTCAGATACACATGTCAAATGTCAAGGTCTATGGCAGCTTTCTAAGTATAGGCCATATAAACACCGCCCAGTCATCTCCTCAGTATTTATTTGCCAGTTTAAAAAGCCTGCTTTCCTTGGACAGCATTCCCCCTGGATTAAAAGGATATCTGTGGCATGTCGCAGCATTCCCTCTCAAACTTTTTTTATAACTTGTTCATATTGTTTATCCACGTGCTCTGTACATGTTGTCAATCAGTTGTAGTAGAGTATTACATCAGCATCAGACCTGTGACAATGACAACACTGTTCCCTTTTTATAAAGCCCACCTGCTGATTTCCTCCCTCTTCCCCTGCTTCTGTAGTGCATTAAGGATACTCATCTCTCATGCCCTGCTGACAGCCCTCACCCTGATCCCAAGGGGGGAATCTGGAAACAATGACTACAAATGTACCCTTAAATGACACTGACATTTTGAGCAATGCTGAATTACTCACGTTGTTGCGTATATGGAGACATATGGATGAAACTGAATGAAGGAGGAGCTGGTATGAAGATTTTGTTACCTTTTGACAGAGCTGGGCTATCTGTTTATCGTGTTTCAAATTGTTGTGTAAAACAAGATGACCAGCTGCAGCTTTCTATTTAATGGACACCCATGAGAATGCTATCGGAATAAGCTATCTGCTTACCTAACTCTCAAGATAGCAAATTCATTTTTTTCCAAATGTCCAACTATTCTGTCTCATGACATTTTGTAGAAATATGGGCTCTGCAAAAATTATATTATTTAAATTTAAATCCAACTGCTCCAACTACAAAACTAATATATTGAACTATAATCCAGCATTATAAAATTAACTTTTCTTCTTCTCTTTTTAAAAGCTGGCACAGCAGCCGGTGGGTAGGGGACAGTGATAGAGCAACCACTACAGAGAGGAGGAGCATGCCACCTCTCTATATAAGGCCTGAAAGCCTGTCCCTCCTGGATCTATCACTGGTCCTCCTTTGCTTCCCCAGTGAGATTTCAAACCTTATCTCTGTGCTCTCTCATCTCCCATCACTCTGGTCCGAAAGAGTCTTTGAGGTTTTTTCGTCTTCTGTCCTTTCATCATCTTTCTCCTTCCCGGGAAGAGAGGGGTTCTACGCCTTACCTGTCCTCCTCTAGAGTCACATTGCTCTGAAGACACCACCCTTCTTCTTTTGACTTCTTGACGCTTTTTTCTTGGGACGAGGCGCAAGATGCCAGAGCCCACAAAGAAAGGTAGGGGCCCACATAGTTTGTGTGCATGTAAGATCAAAGCATGTAAAAGAAAAATCCAACAAAGCCTACTTGAGGCTTGTATTAATTTGATAGCAAAAAAAACCTTTAGATTATTTTGTGATTGGCTTGGTATATTTATATTTAGTCTTAGTTTGAGGGGAGCACAGTCAGACGACTCCATCACTATGGCCAGCTTGTCCGTAGGAATCCTCAAAGTGACTTTGACAGTGGTATTGTATTACTGATGCATGCGTGTTTCTACCAACCTGGGCTGCAAGGGAGGATTTAAGGTCCATGAGCAAATACTATTGTTGCGGTGGGGCTAGGGGCTGGCATACTGGATTGTTCTCTGTGGTCCAGCTGGAGAAAGACAAGATGATGAAGATCAGCGTAGGAATGATGATGAGCGAAGAGTTGAACACAAGCAAAGACCTATGAAGGATGATGCAATTTGAGCGCGGGCCGGGTTGTAAAAAAAAAAATTGATTGTCTGTCTTTCTTATGATTGATGCGATTCCACCCGTCAAACATTTCCCCCTGCAACTAATTCAACTCCTAATTCAAGCCACACACAGCATTAACCCATCCCCTCTCTTCCACACCATAACTCTCACTCATCTGTACCATCATGTCCATCAACATTCCCTTTTAATCCGCTCTTGTCTGTCATTACGATATGGTATTACTCCCACCCTCCCCATTAGCCTAGCTCTTTTGGGGGGGGGGTCTGCTGTCGACCCAGATATGCCCATGTAAAGGAATTGGAACATTTTGTTTTCATCTTGGAAGCCTTCCTAGTGTGAGTTGATACAAGTTTTTAATAAACGTGTTATCCTCTAGGGGGACCTTTGATCTGCCTTTGGTTTTTCCTGACACCTTAGGCATGATTTGCACATAGATGTGAACATAATACTCTCTACACAAGATATCTATTCCTTGTTTTTCCTGGAAGAAAGAACCTTGAGCTTTACTGTTTTTACCCAAGATTTTTTGGGGCAAGGATTTTCTTATTTGAACCAACTAAGGATGTGGAGTTCCCTTTGAGACACATTTGCACTTTTAGTCTATATAAATAATATTAGCTGAAAGAAAATTGCATTTTCAAGATTTGGTTAATGGGCGCTCTTGTATTGCTTTGATACATTTGGGAAAAGGAACGCTCCATAATCCTATTTCTCCCATCCAGGTTTACCCTTTATACCCAGATGGCTCGTTAATGGTCAAGAAAATGTAGGCAGCCACAAAAACCAAGGTCATGAAACAATATTAAGTTCAACTTGGCCTTCATCTCTTATATTGTTCTGTCAACGTGTACATCGTGTCCATCCACTGCCATAAACATCACTAATCCCCTCAAAGACAAAGCTGTGGGGAAATAGAGGCAGCAGATGCCAGTCTGCTACAAACACTACCCATAAATAGCTGCTGCATAGCCAAGAGCAGCAGATAAATGAGAGTAGAAAAGTATTGTTCTTTAAATGAGTCTGAACAGCTGAAGAGAAGGAGGCCAGGGCTGTTGTTTTAGACACCCCACTCTCAAGCCTTTACAAAAGTCCGGACCAGATATGACGGACTGGCTGAGTCGCTCGCAGATCTCTTGGGACCTGGATTCTTGTCCCTGGAATAGTTCAGAATGAGTGCACTTTTAATCCCCATCCCTTGTTTCCTGCCATCTCCCTCCACAGCCGCCAAACCCCTCCTCCTTTTCCTGTGCCACACACCAAAACAGACATCTCCCTTGCACCCTCAGTTCAGGTTGGATTGTTCAGAGGTCAGACGCCTCGTCCATTAAACTTCTAACCTGGTGCCCAGAGGCCTTAGAGTACTGTCCTCGCTGCCACTCAGCTTCAGGTTTGAGTTGTGAACAAGCCCTTGTCTTCACCTCATGATATCTACTGTCCCTAAGGTCTGTCACTCTCCCTGAGCTCTGTCCTCTGACTCAGTTGCTTTGTGTTACAGAATACGATCTCATAAATCAAACCCATGGTAAGATACACTGGGGAAAGCCTGTCAGCAACTAATTGCTGCCCCAGAACAGCTGTAATCTCTCCTCAGACACTTAAAGACACATAAGTTACTTGTTCCTTTCTAACCAGAAGGAAAATTAAAGTCCCACAACAAGGAATAACAGCATCATGAATGTAGGGTTATTCAAGCAATGAAGGTCTCTGTTAGAAAATTAAGCTGCCGTCAGTTCGGCTCACGTCCGAGCCTCGGTGAGCTCTTCTGTCTGCACGCCAGCAGGGGGAACAGCTGAAATACCT